CGGCAGCAAATCACCACTGACTGAAGTTGATTTTGGGGTGCACACAACTCACACCTGACACAGCAAATTCACATGTCCCCAGAAATCCCCACAGGAAACCTTTAATCTCTGCTTATGACATCGTTGTGGTTGCATATCAAGAATTGCACAGCAGGATTTCAGTCAATAATTATTTGCTCTTATAGCAGTATTCCAAAATTTACTGTGGAAGGTGGGCCCAACAATGTGAATAACTCTGTTTCTCTGTGAACTCCTGCCAAAGTACAAGTTGACCTGAATTCTGATATCCTAGATTAGTATGTTCTAACTGGAACCATCCAGGGGTTTTGGACGATGTCTGTGATCATCCCCAACCAGTGTCCATCTTAGCCTGGTAGGCATCAGTTTGGGAAAAGCTCTCCTAGATCTGAATCCAACTCTCCCTTGAACCTTACCAGCTGTCATTGTAATGTGTGTATATTTAAGGAATGGCGTCCAATGATTGCCCTTCAAACATAACGTTTGAAATTCATCCTTAATTTTCCAAGTTCAGCAGTTATCTAAACCAATGTAACTGGATTAGCATCCTGTATAAACTATGTTCTATGAATTACTCATGAAGACTATACAAGGTTGCTGTTCTCTCAGTGCATTTGCTATCAGTTTGTATTCTTTTTAACAGTAGTCTTTTGTGATTGCACAAGTAGAGGAAAATTCAGATCAGTATTTTGAAAATAGAACCAGACCAGCAAGAAAATACTGCCTCTGTGTATAGTGGAAGCTGAAAGAGCTTGTAGCGTTGAAGTTGCTGACAGTAGCAAGAGGTGAGCATGGACCTCCCAGTTCTAATTCCATTACTATAACTGGTACTTCCATGTGTTAGTAACAGCCTTTCAGGTCCAGGATCTAGGCCAGTTAATCTTAATTTTTGAAATGTGCACACCTCTTTACAAGGCTTGATCTCATGTTTCAAATTGGGCATTCATAGCACCCCCCCTTTTGTTCTCTTTTGTTCCTGAAAAGCATTTACCTGAACGTTACAGACCCTGCATCCGCAAGGTCCATCTTCCTCCCCGTCTGAAAATTTTTATTTTTTTATTTTATTAAATTTATATCCCGCCCATTTAGACCATGTCTACTCCAGGTGGCTTACAATAGGAATATCATAAAACAATTAAAAACAGCAATTTAAATCAGTAATATTAATATCATTCAAGATGGATAAAAGTATAGACGAAAATTAAAATAGAAAAATAAAGATCAAGTATTGACAGTAATGGGGATCTCTAATTTCCACTATAAATTATAGATTCACCACTATCATTACTGTTCCAAAGAATAATGCAAGTGCACAAGATGTAGGAGGAAATGTTTACCTATTCAGGATAGAGAGTGCTATGAGAAACCAAACAATTTCAAATATATTTAAATTTGTGACATATCAAAAAAAAAAAGCCAAAAACTGTTGCTATACTCAACATGGGTCTGAAGCAGTTGCTGTATAATGGAGGTTGCTTCTCAAAAGAGGATGGGGGACAAATCAGACATCTAGTGCAGGGTCCTCTCTTCCCCTTCCTCATCCCTTCCTCCAATCCCTCCCCTTTACTTGATGGTAGAAGCTCCTCCTTTTTTAAGGTAGTGCTAGGCTTAGACTGGAAGTGAAGGGTCTGCTCTGGTTTTGTGTGTGAACAAGAGGAAAGAAAGAGGAAGCGAAAAGGAGGGAGGAAGACCAGAACAGCCAGAGTTGGGAGAGAGAGAGAAGGCAAGTATTAGGAACAGCTGCCTTGGCCCATGCTCCCTGCCAGCCCACAAATTCTGGGAAGTGCCTTAGCGCTGAACTCCCACCCTCTCCCAGAGCAAATGGAAACAAATATAAACCATGCCTTCAGGAGGGGACAAAACACACAGACACAGTCACAGATGTAATCACTGCTGAACCAAGGACAGGCCTTATGTTATAGCAAATATCAATATCATCAGTGGTTGCTTGGGTACATTTTAGAGGACAAAAACTGTCTGGAAGAGGCCTTAGATGCTGAACACATATTGAAACGGTTGCTCTCTTTTTCTGCTTTGGGTCTGTGGCAGCTACACAACAAGCAGCAGAAAAGTATTTGAGTGACCTACAACGTTCTGAGCTGTTGTAATTCTAATGCCAACAGAATGATCTGCAGGAAATCTTACTTATTTTCTTAGAAAATCTTTAAATGTAAACATCCTGTCGATAGCAATCTCAGATTCTTCCAGTGTTTACTCTGTATCTGCCACCCATGTGTACTGTATATGAGTCCTCGTTCTACATTTTATGGAAATTGTTTTGATAATATGTTTGCAACCAAAAATAAATTGAAGTTGGATTTTAAAAATTATACTTGGGAATAAACTAAAATTAGCATAGTTTTTCATTGGCTGAAGTCCTCATCATAGTAGGCCACAACTAGAGTCGGGCCCCTTGAATCGGTGGGATTCTGGTGAGTCAACTCCTGTAAAGTCCCATTGATTCAGCGAGTCTAATTCTAATATTGACTGAGTATACTAAGGAACAGGATTTCAGCCATGGTCTGATTATCATGATTTTTGGCACGAAATTTGTTGGAAATTGTTGAACTGTGACTCTTATCAGCTCATTTAGCATGGCCAGTAGTCAGGGACAATGGAACTGTGGTGCAACATCAGGAGAGCAGCAGATTCCACGTATCTAACCTAGATGGACAACTTTTAACAGACTCATTTTCTGTGTCAAAGTCCATGGTGCTCTCTTTGGAAAAGGACAGTCCTCTTTTTGCGTGTGTCCTCTCTTCAGTAGAATGCCCAGTCCAAGTCTGATTTCATTAAAGAACTGCAAGGAGGGAGAGCAGAGCTTGAAATGGCTGTCCAATATTAGGACCTGACAAGCCCCTCTGGTCCTGCTTCCCCCCATTCAGATGAAATGTATTGTAATTCCATCTGAATTCTAAAAATCATCTCTGATTGTACATATAAATTAGCATATGCAATTTAATGCAGATGTGTATCATTTGTTGTGCTTTCAAAAAAACACATGCAAACATTCCTCCTGTCTTTAACATCAAAACTAGATATGATCTGAAAGTACGGCCTTTAAATGGGGCAGGAGGTCTTAGTGCATGAGATTTTACTCTTTGTCCTTCCAACAGTCTTATCAAAAATTGCCCCAGATCAGGGCAGTATCATTCAGGGTAGTGGCAGAGAAGTAAAAGGCTTATCCCACATGCTTCAGCTCCAACACAAACATTCCCTCCTTGGCTCTTCATTATTGTTTGTTAAACCTCTGTTGTGGCAACAATGGCTGAAATCCTGTTGCTTCATATAGTAAGTCACACTAGAGTAGATTTATTGAATCAGTGGGGACTTGGCGAGTTAGCTCCTTTGTTAAGTGCCATTGATTTGGTGAGTCAGCTCTTCCTTACATTGTATACTAAGTTGTCATTAGAGTAAGCCCATTTGAATCACTTGAACTTGCAGAGGAATTGATTCACCAAATCTCCAGCGATTCAGGGGGCCATTCTGGTATGATGTACTGCGCTGAACAACAGAATTTGACTCTAAAAGCCGAAGCAGAAGGTTCCCTCTCTTCAGTGTTAGTATGCTTTCAGATTTAATACCCAGCTGTCTCTGATTTGTCTTTCTGACTTCAGTCTGTCTTTTTTCTATTTTCCTCTTTCTAAAATGCTTCTATGTGTTGATTTTCAGCTGACTTTTTACTATGGAGCTAAAGATTTGTGGTGTCCCAGGCAATATTATGAAGAGATGAAGATGGAGTTTCCAGAGGGAGACATCCAGCTATGCGAGAGAGGATTCCATCATGCTTTTATCCTGCGTTCTTCCAAAGAAGTGGCTGAAATGGTGACACACTGGGTACTGGATGATCTGGACAGGCTGTAAATAAGAGGTGGATCAGAAGGTGGGACAGGAGGGAACCACTGTCCTTGAAAAGACTTGGACATCTGGGCATTGTGCGTTACTTCCTCTAGAAGATGTGGTCTAACTTTGCAGTGTGAAGAACCGTCCCATTGACAGGAGTCCTACTAATAGCCCATTGTATGTTTTTCAAGAACTTGGACTGGCTTTTGCCAAAGGTGAATTGGGATTTTTTAAAAGTGTAAAATACTCATTCAGTGGCAGTGTCTTGTGCATTCTAAACCCACGTCAAGTGACCCCCATACTAACATTTGTGAGAAGGTTGCAGTTTTGTTCTTAAAAGTGAGTTCACAAATGCCCAAGCAGTGAGATTTTTCTGAAGACTTAGAGGGCCATGATAGAGCAGGCAGAGCAGCCATACTCCTCAGAGGCAATAATCACCATGGAGATAATTTACATATTCAGCCCAAAATAATTGGCTGTGAGTTATAGCAGGATGCACAACCATGTATGAATCAGCCTTCAGATTTAAAAAATTTTAATTTTATTTGAATGCAGTGCAGGAAAAGACAGGGTTAATAATCTGCTGGATGAAGATTTATCAGTTTGAAGTCTTAAACTCTCCATTTGTATAAACTCTCTCAAGATTTTAGAATAAGTTTGCAAAGAATGCCAGAAGATACATTTTTGTAGAAATACTTAATGAAAAAGTGTTCAAATAAAATAAAGAAGGGAGTTCTGTACATGAGTATACAAAATAATTTTCCCTTCAGAGTGCATTTAAAATATAAATGAAACAATCTTTAAAAAAATTATTCCTTTCCCCATATCTGCCCCTGTGCACCCTTTGAACCTATTCACTGATCATGAGACAGGAGAAAAGAAATGAACTGGAAGGGAAAATGTGTATTATTTATTGTGTGACTGTATTTTTCACCTTGTTAAACATTTATTATCTCCCACATCAGCTCACACGGCTGAAAAGGGGAGGCAGGCTCTGTCGTCAAGTTAACGAATTGAAACTACATGACACGCAAGGGAAAGGGAGTGAATTGGAAAGGGAAGGAAGAGGAGGGAGGTGGTTTTTTGAAGACTAGAACAAGGTGTAAGCTGTAAGCAGGCATCTAAGCACAGATCAGGCATGGCTGGGTTCCTTTCACCCCAAGGGCATCTCCTCTATATATTCAAGACCAGCTTGATACCACTTCCTCTGGCCTGGCTCCATCCTATCTATGGAGCTCTGCGCTCTGTAGCTGGAATTCTCTGCTGTCGTTCAAAGGAGAGCACACAAGCTTTCTAGCAGAGAATTCTTAATTATCTTATCCAGCATCAAACTCCAGATTAGGTGGAGAGGAATAATTGCAGTTAAGGTGAGATTGAACCACTACCCTTCTGCCCTCTACACATCAAGTGCCTGAGCTGCTTGAATGCAAAATGAATAGTTTCTTTACAATGAAATTCAGAGAAGTAGTTTAGTGATGTCATGCTTCGATAAAAGAAGCCATGAGCCGGTGGCTCCCTGTGCACTCTCAAAATCTTAATTTGAAGATTATAAAGACCCTGAAGAGCAGATTTTCAGAAGGTGCTGTGACAAACCCAGACCTACTGGGATCTGCCACACAGTTACACTAAGCTGCCACCAACCATTCCCTTTAAGAAGTCACACAGACCAGGGATGGATTTTTAAACAATAAAAAGAATAAGGTTTATTTTAAATACAAACAGGGTAAATAAAACAATCAGGTGAATAGATAAAGTAACGTGGCTTAGTTTCACTCATACACACACACAGTTTGGTTCACCTAGAACCTTAACTTAAAGCACAGACCCTGAACCTATCAGTTCTGGCTGACCAACAGACACCTGAACCTATCAGGTTGGTACTCTGACACACAGTAGTACCCTGTCTGACACACAGACTCCCACAACAGCTTCTTCTTCCCAGCTGCTGCTTCGTCACATCCCAGTGTCTCTCAGCATCTCTCTGTCACCACACAGGCATCACATTTATATACAGTACAGCCCCTCCTCCTGATGTCCCGCCTTCCACTCCCCATAGGATGGAACTTTCCCTCCAAACCCATGACAGACAGGTACCATCAGTGCTGTATGTAACAGGTGCGTGAGACAGAAACAAAGAAGATAAAGTTCAGCATGCACACACATTTCTGGCAGTGCAAGATTAAATTCCACCTTAAGCAGCATTTAAGATCACTATTCAATGTGCATAGTACATTGAGTCTCATGGTGCAGTAGTTAACTTGCAGTCGTCGTTTAGTCATGTCCGACTCTTCGAGTCTCATGGTAGTTAACTTGCAGTCGTCGTTTAGTCATGTCCGACTCTTCGTGACCCCATGGACCAGAGCACGCCAGGCCCTCCTATCTTCCACTGCCTCCCGGAGTTGTGTCAAATTAAATTCA